TCCTTCCTTCCTTCCTTCCTTCCTTCCTTCTTTCCCTTCCTTTTTTTTTCTGTAAGAAAAGCTACCTTCTTTAAGGTATTTACTGCATTTTATGATCATAATTTTTGCACAGATGTTTCTTGGTGTTTGCAGGTTTTTCTGTGTATTTTTATATTACAAAGGAGCCAGCCACTGCAATAGCTCAAACTCTGACAAGCAAATAGATAATCAAGAAGACAAATGACTTCTTTTGTGCTCCATAGCTCTTGTATTAATTTTCATTTTCTTTCCCATATAAAGTATCGAAAATACTGTTTAGGACGAAATAGCATTCCACTTTGAAGTTACAAACTCCGTGTGTGTATGTGTGTGTGGGTGGGTGGGTTGTGGTGGTGCATATAACCTAGTGTAAAGAAAAAATTCTCTTTAAACACACACACACACACACACACACACACACACTTATACCAATAACATGGTCCTAATTTACTTGATCATGTAGGCAGAATTCATCCAGAAGTTCTCCACCAGAAGACCTGTAAAAATGAAGGTCACATTCATTTTAATGGAGTTTGTGCAAGAGAAATTCCGGTTGCCTTCTACTCTGAGAAGTGCCTCAGAGAAAGTAATTTTCATGAGAGAGTTAACTATTCTGTAACCTTCCTTTAGGCTATATTCTCTATCCATTATTCAAATTGTGTGTTATTTTACTGCTTTATTGTATTATCAAAACATGCATCTCAGTAGGATTTATTCACAATCCACTATGTCTATTTTATATTTAATTTTAATAGGTTGGATCCAAATTTAGTCATGCTTAGAGTAGACCAACTGAAATCAATGAGACTTAAACAACTCCTAAAAAGCTAGATCCCATTAATTTTACTGGATCTACTATAATTGTATTGCCCCTCTTTCATATGACAGATAGATAAATAGCTGTCATATCAAAGTTGAAGCAAAATTTCCTGTTCTTCTAACCTATAAACTGGATGAAGATTTAGTTATATTTAGAATCATTTAATTCCATGGCAGCTAAGTTAATAATTGCAAACTTAAGTCTCACTAGTTTCAGTGAGACTACTCTAAGTCCAGTTAAGGCTGGGCCCAGCCACACCCTCTATTAATTATTCCTTTACCAAGGAACTTGGGAGCACCAAACATTGTGCACTGTTCACTTAATCCATTGCTGTTTAATAGGACTACTTTTGAACAACTCAAAAAAACAGCCAGGATGCTGTGAACCTTGGACAGATCCTTTGTTATGGAAATTAATGGGACTAACTTATAAGTAAATATGGTGTTTGCAGGATGTCCTGAGCCATTTACATGTGCGTGCACAGAGGGACGCACACGCACGTGCACCCACAGAGAACAGAATCTGTTTATAACAACACATTTTGATTAACTCCCCCTCCCCCCCCCCGACACTCCTTATGGGTTAATACTTGAGGAAAATGTCAGTTAAAGTATTTGGTAGATTTTTATTGTTCTTGGAATATTCAAAACACATCTGATGGTGACAGGCTTGAGAAAGGCATGGGAGAAAATGAGGAGGGTATCATTGTACTTCTACCTTTCATTGTCGCCATCTGAAGGCAAATTTTTGTAGCTTGATTACCAACCCCAACAACACCCCCCTACCCCAAGACTGGTGGTATCCAGACCACAGTGTTTTAATTTCTGTTGATTTCAGTGATGCTGGAGGAGTTCTCCTCAGACTGTTTAGGGTTACCCCAAGTCCTTCCCCCTTCTACATACCCCAAACAAAACTTTAAAGCATATACTGGTAAGAATGTAGCTTCTATAGAACCAAATCAAAGCTGGAGAGTGTGAATAGAATTTAGGGTGGAGATTTCTATAGTCTCCAAAAGTTCACAGGCGTTGAAAGCAGACAGGAGCTGAGAAAAATGCGAGAATTATGCAGAAAAAATCATTAATCATTTCTTTTCTTCAAATACTTATCCTTTTCCTATTGTTATTCAACAGCAAACCTCTACAGACCTTCTGTTGGGAAAAAAAGAGAGCACCCGGGAGCCTTGAATCTTTTAAGATATCTTCCAGGAGATAATATTCATTGAAATATACATTAAAATTGAACACTTTTATTTATTTTTTAATTTTTAATGGAAGACTTGACTTCAAATATGAATGCCATCAGCTTTAAACATCTGGAAAAAAACCCTGTGAAGCTAAAAAGGTAATATATGTAAAATAATATACCTGTATATATATTATTTTAAAGGCTTGGCTTGCTCTTTTGAAACTGCATATTGCTTGGGTTTTAAGAATGAAAGGGGGCAGGGACAATGTCCAATGTCTTCTCTTAAAATCATATCCGTGAAGCCTGATTCTATGCAGCCTTGTTTATTCCAAAGCAATGGCCACTGAGTACTATGGTCTTACTCTCCGTAAGTGTTTTCATAGAATTTGCAGTCCTGGATGAGTTTCCATGAAGGCAGAGTTTTTATTTTCACCAAAAGAAGAAAGGAACAAATACAGTAGTTTTAATTTGTTTCATGATTATGTGTGATTTCTAGAATTTAGTTTTCCATACAAGGTTTATTTTGTTTTAATACGGTCTTCATGTTTTGGGTAGAATTGATAAGACAGAAGGCACTGGAATTAAGAAGCTGTTCTGTCTTTATTTCTCTATGCGTTTCATGCTGTTCTTGAAATATTTTTTCCATGGTATAAAGATAATGTAATATATTTCATAATTGCGGTCTGAAAAAAAGGAGGTGTAGCTAGTGAATTTCTGCTAAAATTCATGTGTCTGGTATGTTTTATATGAAATTTTCGACGTTTGTCAGCAGAAGCATGAGCGACAGATTGTTGTCTGTCTGTCTGTCTGTCTGTCTATCTATCTGCATTTCAAGGTGGGGAAGGCTTATATTAAACAAATGCAGTTAAAATTTGACCCTGGTGAGCTGCAGAATGAGTGCCGAGTTCATCCAAGGGACACATTTTCTGAATGATTAGCCTGGTATTGCAACTACAGAATGACCCCTCCAAACCCCTTGACCTTTTCAGGACTGGACATTGTGCCATGTAGCATGGCTCACACAGGAGCAGAGGCGGGCTAAATCAAACTCAGGGGGCCAACGTGAAAACTTGGGCAAAACATGAAAAACAGGCATTTCACAACACCTTTCCCACTTCCCACCCCCAGGTTTCCTTCTGCTTCTTGTGGGCCTTGTTAATTTTTCCTCTATTTGAGTTATGTTGCTTGAAGTTTCTTTTTGGTAGCTTTTGCTGCTGAGGGCACAATCCCAAGAGAAGTCCTCCTCCACAGTGAATGGGAGTTGTGGAAAGGTTCGGCTGGTTTGATTGATGGAGATTAATTTAGCGCACTCCTATCTTACTTTGGTCTACTTGGATTTAATTATGAATAGAGACAATTTCTGTGTCCCAAAGTACACTGGATATTATTTTGTCATCATCAGAGGTGACATAAGAATCGTGGCTCAGCCTTGCCTCTGGGTTGGGATGGGTTCTTTCACTTTCTTCTTTCCTGCAAGAACAACGGACAGCATTTGATGACTGAGTGTCCTTCATAACCCTTAGATTTACCGAACAAGAAAGTGGAGGGAAGGTATTTATCCTCCTTTCACTGTCTTTGTCACCCTTTTGCTCAGATTATCTTCA